CAGGAACTCTGGGAGGAAGTCAGGACTCCGCTGGGCGGCCCGCGCTCGTCTCTCTCTGGCCTTGTTTATTTTCTTGGGGAAGGTTTTGTTAGGAGTGGTGCGTCAGCAGGTGTGAGAAAACCATCAGTGTCAGTCGTTGCATCTCTGACCTGGAGAACTGCTCTTTGTGTTTTCTGAAAACAAGCAGACATATGTGAGAGCATGTTTATATGAGATTAAAGGGATAGTGCACTCAAAAATGAAAAATCAGCTACTCACCCCCATGTTGTTAGAAATTCATGTTTGTTTGCTAGACACAACATGAGTTATTCAGCACAATTTTGACCCTATTTTACTATTATTGATGTACTATTATACAGACATATACAGTATATATATATATATATATATATTTTTTTTTTTTTTTTTTTTTTTTGATTAACTTTTGGATGTATTTTCATTTAAAAAAGCAACATTTTGAAACTAGGTTTCACAGAGGTGAATTTGCATAATAAGAATAAGAATAAGAATAATAACAATGATTAGAAAAAAAAAAAAAACAGACAGCAGAAAGCACACAAGTAAGCTACAACACACCATTGAATAATAGAGTGTTTCCACATTCCGCTAAAAGTTTGAAATTGTTTTGTCTTGTAAAACATACAACAATAATATTTCATTTACAAAAAATTCAGTGTATGTGAACGAATGAAATCTCTGATAGAAAGAGATGATGGTATGTAAGAATATTCTTCGTACAGAATGTTTCCAGTGTGGGCACTTGTAATATCGGCCAATCACAGCGATTGTTATCCGACAGTTGTTTTGCTCTATTTCCTTGCCCTTAAAGATCCTGACACTGGCCACAGGTATGACAGAAGCTAAAGGTCACTTTTCTTATAGCCACAATGTAATTCTCCTTGCCCTTGAGTGGGATGTTGTGCTCAGCCAGGCTCGTGCCTATAGAGTTTATCCTTGAGCGAACGGCGTCTCTCATCGATCACTGAGATTGTGGAATTGCACGAGTGAACGTGAAGAGAATGTCTCTTTCAAAAGCCAGAGAACATTGGATATGAACAGCTTGTGGCTCTACAAATTGCTCTAATGCTTTACCCCCACCTGCAAATATGAGTTTTATGATTGAACCGGGAGACACTAAATGAAATCTGTCTTCTGATTTTATTTGACAGCGAAAATCTCTCTATCCTCAACCTCACCAAAAACTTTCTTCAAAGCTTATTAGAGCAGAACTTTCATCTCCGTCGAAAATGACTGATTAACATATATGAACAAATAGCAATTGATTGGAAGAACTGGTGAAGATCCTATCATAATAAAATGAAGGATAGCAGGTCCATTATCTCAGAGCTGCTCATGACTGAAAGCATCAATCTTTCATCACCATTATCTGAAGTGCACTTCTTGTTTCAGTCAATACCAAACATTAAGCTTGACTGAATCTATTGTTAGCCATTATAATATGATAATATAAAAGAATACTGACAAGCTGAAGGTCTCTAAGCAATCTTATTGGGTGTCAAAGCATTTGAGGAGACATTTTAATTAAGTCCTTGATGTTAAACTGACTTAAACTAGCATCCAT